TTATCTGAGAGAATTAAATACTCAAAAATATATGACAAGGACAATTTCCGCATAGCGTTTACTTATGACAATACGCTGAAACAAATTTACTCTAATACCAAACATAAAATTCCAATAAATGAGAAGTCTGATGTAATTTATAGAATATCATGCAGTGGCGACGCGTTCCACGTATGCGATGTGGTTTATGTGGGGAAAACAAAATCGAAATTAAAGACAAGGATTTCCGCTCACAAATCAAACATTAAGTTGAGGAACAATTCGGCGGGCAATAAGACAGCATTGTCATCTCATTGCCAGGATACGGGACATTATCCCGACTTTAATAAAGTAGCAATCTTGCAACAAGAGAAAATCTATAATAAACGCTATGTTTTAGAGATGCTACATATTATGAACACCCCTAATCACAAAAGGATGAACTATAAAACCGACACCGACAATTGCGCTCACGTTTATCGCAATTTAGTTCTAACGCATAACAACAAACCTACAGTGTAAGTGTCGCGTGATCGTGTGTTCATGTTAAACTCATCGTCCGTCCCCTGCCAAGATTTCTTCGGACAACAACATTAGAGGTATTCTCCAAATCTTGCAAAGCCATTGAACGTAGCACGGATTGCATGGATTGCATAACTTGCAAACACACAACAACAAAATACATGGGAAACGGCATTTCCTATCGCTGCAAAATATACAACGTCGAAACCCATGTATATATTTTGCAAAATAGCATAGCAAGATAAATGCGACACTGTGCTAGTTGTTTTTTTGTTGGAATTGCTACATATTTCTCTCAACCTCTCATCTCGCTCGCTTCATATTTTTTTTTCTGTCTCTTGTTATTGTATTTGATACATGATTTCGCTGCTTGCTACCCAAGAATGATAGAATACAAGATTGCGCCGTCCTGGGCGTTGATATTTGTGTACCACAAGTAAACAAAGAATAGAGCGAAAAGAAGAACGAGTTGAAACTGCCAAAGCAGTTCACTTTACAGCGAAAAACGTGTTTTAATTTTGCTAAATGTGAAAATATTGCATTTTTCACCTAATCTATTAGAGAATAGTGAACATTTTAGGGCACTCCATTGCTTTACAATTGCGGCTGCTTCAGCAAACGTTTTAGTGCACTCCATTGCTTTGCAATTAAGGCTGCTGCAGAAAACTGCAGCAGCATCTCTGCGGGATTGATTAGTTAACTTGCTAATGGAAGCTGCGTGGAGCAGAAACAAAATCCTTGTGAGGAAATGCTGTTAATATAATAATAGAGAAACATTTCGGGAACGGCTTTGCCGTGCCCTATGTACACAAAATGCAGCGATTCGTCTCAGCGCTACACTTGCATCTACGCTTCTTGCATCTTGACGGCTGTCGCAATATAACACACAGCACTTCATTGAACTAGTTTTTAAGCAGTCTTCAACTAAAAAATCACTCGCAAATTGCAAATTAACACAATTTAAACTGATTTTTCACTTATAATTCAAATTTCTCTTTAGCTGATTTGTAAACAAAGGTTTATTTACAAGTTACCACAACTGTCAAAATCGGCAAAACCAAAGTAGCGGTACCACTGACGGCGCCACCTTTGTTCGCTGCACCGTGCTTGCTACCCATGCACAGTGTTGCCAGGTCTTCGGCATGAGAAAACGTCCCTATTGGTCTGAAAAAACGTCATTTCCTACCCAAAAACGGCTTTGTCAAATAAATGTACAAAAAATTGTTCTTATTAAACTTTTATTGTATACAAAGATACATATGTACGTAAGGTGTGCTAAAATGTCATTTAGACGGAGTACATTTTGAATTCATTGTAAACTGGTTTGAGATCGTTAATATAAAAATGATTTTATACATACACTTGTGATCAGCTGATTAAGTCATCAACATTTTGATCGATTTTGGCTGTTTTTCTTTTGTTTATTTAATGTTTATTATTTTTCCATAAAAGGCAAACTCATTATATAACAAACAAAATATAAATCCATTATATTTGAAACTTAATATTTGAAACTTTGTGCAAAAATTATCAAAAATCTGCAAAGTTTCAGCTATATTTTCACCTTTTTATTCAGATTTTTTTTAATTTTTTTTTGAGTATGCAGTTTGATAGCCCATTAAATTTCAGGACAATAATGTGCAAGTTTAAAGGGGCTACATAATCGCGTTGATTTTTAATAATTTTTTTTCTTGTACACATTTAGTTAGGGGGTGGGTTGTCGAAAATGCTAAACTACGTTCTGCTAAGAAGGAGCATAGCAATATTGCAGCCTTTTTTGCGTTCATTACATTTTCAATGAAGTCTTAAAAAAGTCGCCTACTTTTTTCTGACTTTTTATGCTAATACAGCTTTTTTGATGCTTTTGCGAGCGTGCGTGTTGCAATAGATCAGCTCTTCCTGATTTGGCTTTTAATGTGCAATTGCAAACATTACAATTAGTCTCGTAACCTCAAGTGTTTACACAACCAGCCTTTGTCCAAGAATCCAAAAAAATGCGCGTACACTTGGTTTGCATCATATTTTAATCATCTGTGTCCAAGGAATAAATATCTTTTGAAGCAGCTGCTGCAAAACACAAAGCTTGTAAAGATTTATTAAGAAAATAATTCAAAACCAGTTCTACTTATAAGATTTAGTAACAGAGAAAAATTACTGGGAAATTAAAAAACGTAATCTTTTACACAAAAAACGTCCAAACGTCAACAGGATACAAAAAACGTCCAAATGACGTTACAAACGTCAACCTGGCAACGCTGCCCATGCACGCTACCACTTTGCAATGGGATGCTCTCGTACTCTTCGAAATTTGGAATAGTATTTTTGCATTTCGTACAATCCGTGCATCGTGCAAGAATACCCCTATTGCTCTGCTGAGATGACATACAAACATTTCTTCGTCTTACTGTTCAGCACTTCATGTATTGTTGTTTGTATAAAAATTTTTGTTTATAATTACTGTATTTTAATTATTAGTTTTCCTGTTCATGTTAAATATCTTCTTCGCGCTTGTTTGTTATTATATATTTTGACATATGATTAGTCGACCGGACAAAGCTAATAGTGTAAATCATTTTAAGTAAAGTGACCAGAATTTTTTAACATTCCAGGAAGACAAATTCCCCACGTTGAAAAGACAAAACATTTTTTATATTTATTTTAACACATAAGTAAGGAATAAATTAACAATTCAAAGTTTCTCTAAACATAAGTCAAACAAGTTAGTAGTACACTGCGTTGCATGTTGCGTGTCTCACATGTGGTCCCATACTAATTTGGTTTAGATCCGATGATTGGTTCATGAAAAAATTGACGGTACTCCTAAATTTTTATATGAGAATTGAAGTCGGTTGTGTTTTTTGCTTAAAAATTACTTTTTAAATTATTTAATTGTAATTGTGTTACTTGCAAAAGAAATTGCTTTCGTTCTTCGTCTTTCGCCAAAGTTCGATTAGAATTTTGTATTAACGCTATACCTCGTTCAGCAACATATTTAATACTTTAAAGCGCCTCTAAGATAGCCAAGTTCAGGGTAATTTTTTAGAGAATTAATACTCTACAAGAATATGCCTAGAAAAACCTTTATACCTTTTTTATAACTTTTCTTAACGGTTCAAAAGTTGTAACATTTTTAATGAAAACAATTTTTTTTTACATGTTATTTACACAGAAAATTTCAAATGCCGACCGACAACTTTTAAAATTGAAATAAAAATGTTTTCAAATGGGAGAATTTCCTACTCAGTAAATAGGTCATTTTAAGACTATAAATTCGCTAGGTTAGTTATTTTGGATCACCCTAATACATATATACAAGAATCACTCGTTTACAGTAATAAGAATAAGTGGCAAATTTCCCGGAAAATTATTTTTATTCTAAGCTTATTTGCGCTCCAATGCAACGAACATACTTGTTTTAAGCCATCTTACAAATGCTTTTATCAAGATAAAAAATTCCCACACAAAAATATTGCCACTGATAAAACTTATACATATCTGGCAAATAAAATGACAAATGGTAGGCAATAATTTTCCCTGTGAAGGCCCGTCGTTAGCTAGTCTTTCAGTGTTGTAAAGGGTAATACGGCTTACCTTCGACACCGGGAATTGATTTGCTCGATCCTCCAATTACCATTGCGAATTACTCCTTTCCCAAGCGCACATTCTTAATTCGATTTTACAGTTCTCTATCTCTATCTACGTGTTTTGTTTTTTTTTCTTCACTACAAAATTTATGCAAAATGTAAGTAATTGTTTTTCGTACTTATAAGAAGTGCCAGTTTTGATTTGTGAACTGGTTTCGACAAATGTCCCATAAAAATTTGAGACGACATCGATTTGTTCGTAATTCGCTTGGTAATTGGATCTGAATTACCACGAAATTAAGTAATTCGCTCTCAAAATTTAGTGTGGGGAATTACGTAATTCCAAGGGCAATAGGAGTGTGAATTACGAATGAGAGAACAAACTAAGTAATAGGCGTGCATTGGGAAAGCCGTTTAAATATTATTGATTAAGGCTCAAAAGGCGTTTGTACCTCAGTATATCCAGTAAAAAAACTGTGGTGAAGTCCTTTATGGGGATAAAGTTTCCAGAGATGAAATTTTAGGTAGCACACAATTTCTTACACGCATGGTTGCTTTTCAGCACTCATGAAAGAAACTTAAGAAATATTTGAAAAAAAAGTTCATATAGTACATTAATTTTTGAAAGAAATACCATATTATGTATGTACTCTGGTTAATAAAATCAAAAAATGTATTAGAACCACCGTTTAATGTTATATTTGATACAAATTAATATTGCTTCCCGAACGCTCTGCGCCTTGCCCCTGAATAATAGTTTACTTAAAATTACATCCCTGGTCCTTGTTCCTTTTGTATCTCATCGTGGTGAATTCACATTTCTCAGAAATTTGACAACAAATCAAAACAAAGCGAGTATTTTATTTGCTAATTTTTGCGATTTCTATTGTTTAATGTAAATTTATGTCTTTTTAGGATATGTCGAGCCAACAAAGAAGGCGCAGTTGGAAAATTGAGTAATTAGTAATGAAGTAGCAGGCATATTTGGAAAATTATGCCGATAAGCAGGATGGAATTTGGGAAAGTAAGTGCA